CTGCCCAACTTCTATTACACACATAGCTCACTTCTTCCCATAACCTTAAATCTTTTCACTAATCCAAAAATTCTTGTCATTTCTGACTCTGTATGGCAAAAAGTTCATTTAGGGTTTCTAGACTTTTATAAAAAAAAAAAAATTCTTATTTTAACCCTGACTAAACAGGTCATTTTTATAAAAGACTAGAGTTTCAGTAGAATAACATACCTGTCAATTTCAATCTTCACTTCCAGTGGCTTGTTTCGATCCAGCAGTTTTACCAGTAGTCTGAATCATGGAAATAGCACCAATTAAAATCCATGTGGTTAAAAAAAAAAAAAAAAAGAGGGGGCAGGTAATTATATTTTTAAAATGAATTGCTTTCCTACTAGTCAAAAGTGTTTCTGCAAAATCCTGTCTTGAGGTGTTCTTGAACATTTTTCCTAAACAACCAAAAAATATAGCCGTCCTGGTGGGATTTGAACTGCTAAATGGCAGCCAGCTGAAGTAGCCTGCAGTACTGCACTCTAACCACTGCGCCACCAGGGCTCTTTTCCTTGATCTTGGTGCTAAGGTTTATGGAGCAGAGCAAATTCATTCTATTTTACTATCTAAATCTGCAATTAAATTGTCTCAATCAAAAAAAATGTGATTGTAAGAGTATTTGAGAGCTGGAAACAGTAACTGTTCTTCAAAAAGCTTGTTGCTGCTTAGTTTTTTTTAAAAAAATATTTAAGAAGAGGAAGCTACTGTTTTTCCTGTTAAAACTTATAATATGCAATCTTTCTCAATTCCCACCACAGATATTTGGAAGCTTCAACTGGTTCAAAATCCAACACACAGGCAATTAGTTATACATGCCATACAATTTGAATATGTTAGATCTTTTGTCCATCAGCTGGAAAGGCTGCCAGTTTGCTTCCGGGTTCAACTGAAGGTGCTAGTAAAAATCTATATAAAGCCTACATGACATGGGACTACCGTATTTTTCGGAGTATAAGATGCACCTTTTTCCCTCAAAAAAGAGGGCGAATCTCTGGGTGCATCTTATACAGCGAATACAGCATTTTTTTCCTCCCAAAGCCCCACCCCTTCATCAAAATGGCTGTGCAGAGCCTGTAGGAGGCTTTCAGGGAGCTCCTGGGGGCTGGGGAGGGCAGAAATGAGTGAAAAATTGGCCTTTTTTGCTCAATTTTGTCCCCCCCCCCAGTGCCCAGGAGTACTGTATAAGCCTCCTAAAGGCAATGCATGCAATTTTTTTGACAAAACCTGGCTGTTTTTTTGCTCATTTTTGGGGGGGGCACTTCCCAGGAGCACTCTGCGAGCCCCCTAAAGGCTATTCATGCCTTTTTTGGGGGGGGGGGAAATGGACCCGTTTTCACAAAAGACAAAAAGTCTTTGGGAGGTTTGCAGAGTGCAACCCCCCCACCCCTTTTTAAATTTGCCTCTTCAAAACCTTGGTGAGTCTTATACTCCGAAAAATACGGTAGTTTATTTGAGACTACCTCTCCCAAGCTACATCTCCCCACCTCATCAGATCCAGACATGTTGTGGGTCTTGTCCACTAAGGAGTTCCACCTGATGAGGCCTGGGAAAACATCCTTTTCTGTCATGGGGCCTGTCCCTTAGAACATCCTGCACCTGGAAACAAGAATGGCCCTGATCCTGCTGGCCTTTTCAAAACCCTGAAAACATGGATTTGCCAATGGGCATGAGGACCAGGGAATGTGCCAGAGCTGGCATGACATTACATTGGTGTGATCGTTAGATACAATTACCTCAGCTATGCGCTTTAGGAATTTACTACGAGGGGATGTTTTATGTGTTTTTATATTGGTTTTTTTTTAAATTTGACTTAATTATAAGCCATCCAGACTCATCTTTATGAGACTGGCGGTTATATAGACCTGAATCATAAATTTATACTAAATAACCTAGCTGTTCTGAGAGAAAGCTACTTTTTCTGAGCACAGATGAACTACAGTAATGCCCTAAGATGACAATAACAATAATAACAAGAACACCAATACTATAAATGTCTGGGACCCACAACCTTTGATCTGGGCCCTTCTAAAATTTTCCGTTTCCTGCCGAAAACAATCCCCAGGAATGGCCATTGTTGGAGTAAGGATTCCCCTCACCTGGCCCGGATGGAGAACTTGTGGTTGGTTCTAAGCACCAGTGGACGTTGATTGGGAACTTGCATCTTAGGCTGTACCTCCACCACAAAAGCACTGGTGAGAGGAGATCAACGTTAGTCTTCTACAACCCATCTATTATTTTGCCCACCCCCCCTGTTTAACATTCCCTTACTGGCAGAATCCTTCCCCTCCCTTGTCACCTTTTCAAGAGGCAGATTATTTGCTCCTGAAGCGCCTTGAACAGAAGGGGCAACTGGCCCTTGAGGGGATCTGTCTCGTAAGTCAACTTTTCGTACATCCCTTTCAGCATCTTTAATAGGTGCAGCAAGTAGAAGAGGATCTCAGCGTTCTTAGTAAACCTGTAATTCAGGGGGAAGATCAGTGGATAACAGGACTCTCTATGAACAGACTGTGCAGATATCTGCAAGAGTCAAAAAACACCACCACCTAACTATAAGTGCTCCGCAGGGAAGCCTAAAATTAAATAGACTGCAATTCCTTTCAATGGATTCAATAGGGAATTCAGGGAAAAAAGTGAGTTGCAGCCCATTTTGTAACATTTTGCCATGGTTGCTAAGCAAATCACTCGCAGCTGTTAAGCAATCTTGGCTTCCTCCAATGATGTTGCTTCTCAGAAGCCAACGGGGAAAGTTACAAAAGGTAATGATCACCTGACCCAACGACAGTGCAATGTCATAAATACATGCCAGCTGTCAAGTGCCCGAATATTGTTCATGTGACCATGGGAATGTACAGAGGTAAATGTGAAAACCAATCACAAGTCACTTTTTTCAATGCAGTTGTAACTTCAGACAGTCACCAAACGAATGGTAGTAAGCTGAGGACTTACTATAATGCAGAGGTGTCAAACTCGATTTCATCAGGGTTGTGTTTGACCTCAGAGCGGGCCAGGGGGGTGGGAGAGGCATAACCAGGATGTGTGTGGCCAGCTCAATATCACTCGTGTCGGGAGCGCCTGTGGTGACCCAAGTACTCTGCCAGCGAAAACGGGCTCCCAAGTCGGCTGCAACTGCTCCCTGCAACCCTCTGCCAATGAAAACAGAGTTCGGGAGGGCACTGCGGTCCAATGTAAGACTGTTTCCATGGCAGCCCTGCGGGTCAGATCTAAGCACCCCGTGGGCCAGATCCAGCCCTGGGCCTTGAGTTTGACACCCCTGCTGTAATGCATTTCTTCAAAGGGATCGTTGTATAGAAACGTCTCATTAAAAACAAGTAACTGGCCCATGTGGATCCTTGCCATCATTACCCCTTACCATTCTTCCAGACGACATAAGCTGGTATCACATTTCTCTCCAATGCAAGCTAATCGCTGCCGATTTTGCCATTCTGATACCTCCTCCAGAAGGAAACTTCTTAGAGTAGCAGAGCGTCCGAGAAGTTCGTGGATTTGGCTCTTCATCTCCTGATAAAAAAAATAAAAAATAACACAAACCAAATGTGTTAATTTATTTATCAATTTTAACACAGCTTACCTCCCTCACAGAGCAACTCTGGGCAGTGTACAGATACAATACAAAAATGTGAAAAGTGTATATAAAATTGAAAAAAAGGCAATGATGAATTAATATGTTATCATAAATAATTTTGTTATCAATAGTTAACAGGTAGTTGGCAATTTACAATTAGAATTAAGCCAGTCACAGGATCTGTTACATGTGCCCAGGTCAGTAGGCTCCAAAACCAACCCAAACACACCTGGCCTCTGGGCAACACACACTCAAGCACTCAAAGGCTAATAATACTCACTCAAGCACACTTCCCCAATTCTACTACAACTCCTGTTCTTCCGCTACTACTCTTTGTGAGTTCTACTTCTGAAGAACTATAACTATTTCACAGGCTTCTTCAGGCTGTTTTAGTTTCTCACACATACATAAGCCCTCTTCTCTCTCACTCCTGTATCACACCACAACATCCAGCTGTCCCTCTCCTCAGCTTTTATACCACACATTACATGCAGTCCTCAACTTCTGTTTATGAAATAAACAGTTCATTTAGTGACTGTTCAAGGTTACAACAATACTGAAAAACAGCGACTTATGACCATTTTTCAGTGTTACCACCTTTGCAGCCTCCCCATGATCATGTGATCAAAATTCAGATGCTTGGCAACCGCTTCATATTTATAACCGTTGCTGTGTCTCAAGGTCCTTTGATCCTCTTTTGCGACCTTCCGACAAGTAAAGTCAGTGGGGAAGTCAGATTCACGTAACAACTGTGGCCAGAAAGGTNGTCAACCCTGAGCCTGTGAGATTTGAACAGCCAAACTGCAGAACTGCAGTCAGCTGAAGTAGCCTGCAGTGCTGCATTTAACCACTGCGCCACCTCGGCTCTATCTTTGGCCTGCCTTTAAACCCAGACCTGTCCATATCAATGGAATCCCCGCTTCGTCTGCATAGGGACAAGACCTCCCATTTTTACCACAGAGTTTTTCTCCCAGCATCTTGAGTTGATGGTTATCCAGGCCTTGCTCACTAACTGCCGAGAACTGCCAGGACAATACAATAGAAAGCTGGGCCCAGGTGGCAGCTGGTGGTTTGGAGAAAAACAATTGGTTCTAGGAAGGGGGAAGAAAAAAGCATTAATCAGATACTTGATTTTATTTTAAATATGCCCCCCTCATGCAAAGGGATATCTATGAGGAACAGTTTTAGAGACATAATTCATCCCCTTGGGCTGCCCAAGAAAACTGGGAGGACAGATTAGCATTCTGCAACCTTTTGTTGTGGTCCGCTGGCGGCCTGAGGAGCTTGCAGCAGAGGCAGACAGCGAGGAGGTTGGGGAGGAACATGGGCCAGTCCTGGAGTCTGGGGAAGGCTCAGATGAGGGGTGTGCTTTGGAGGCAGAGTGGGGGCCAGGGCCACCTGGGAATTATGTGCTGCCCCCGGAGTCTCCAGAGTCATACAGCAGCAAGGCAGTGGAACAGGCTCCCCCTGTTCCCAGAGCTTCCAGAAGGCAAGAATAGTTAAGATAGAAGGGACAACTGGGGAGTAAGACTTGGAGGTGATTGGCCGCTCTCATAGGACATAAAGGAGGGGCAAAGCATGTGAGCCTTTGCAGGAAGCAACTTGCTTTATGCTGGTCAGTTTACCTTCTGAAGCTCTGTTTTGACTCTTTGCTCCATGTGGCCTTGCCCAGCTAATTGCCAATTTGGTCTTTGGAAGCATTTCAAGGAAGATAAAGGTGGGTGCCTTATCCCGAAAAGCTTTGGCAGCCTACTGTAGGACTCTTTACAATTATTTGGGACTCATTACGGGCTGTGAATAAACATAATTCACAGCCTTTGAAACAAAAAGAGGGTTTTGGGGACTAAGCGTGTGCTTTTTACGGTTCCACCACAAAAGCGCGTAGGACAAAATCGCGCTCGACAAAAGCGCGCTGTGAC